TTTACAACAGGAGAACTATGGAAAAGAACCCCCAAGTGTTGCTTTAAGCCTTCACAAAACCTTTTGGCTGAGAGGAGCTGACAAACAGAGGGCTACTTAACGCATAAAAAACAGTTCAGAGGATCCCAGTATACACTGGGCTGACTAAACCAGGTCACTGTGCTGAGCAGTTTAAGATAAATTCCTAGAAATCTCTTGCCTACAGATATTTAGGCAAGCAAAATAATTTCTAAGGGTGAGTGAATCCTTTACTTCCTAGAAATGAAAAAGAAACTTGCAAAATTAATATCAAAATTAGCAACTAATCTCTGTGATGAAGCAGCTGCTGTGGTACTGTAAAACTGTAAAAATAGTACAACTATCATTTAATCCTGTAAAAATAGTAGGGAATTAATAATAAATACAGTGTTCAGCATTAATGTGTTTAGGTATCACTACAGTTATTTTGAATCTAGAACAACACATAGAAAGAGATTTTTTTTATTATTATTCTGGTGGTGGTTCTCCATGCCAGAACAGAGTCAACACACGCAGCTACTCCTGTGGCATGCTTAAGGCACCCAACTCCATACAACATGCTCATGTGGGTAGGAAGGCCTTGTCTTAAGAGTTCAAGAACATGGAAAATATTTGTCCTAGACCCAGAGATTCTCAGAATTTTGCCAGTGAATCCAAAGGGGCAAAAATCTGATTTTATATTAGTCCTGCATAAAAAACAGTTTCAGAGTTTGACACATAAGCCAATTAACAATAACAATCTAAAAAGTTATCATGATTTGCAGAGCCTAGAGTCAAAAAGTCCTCTTGAAATGTAATTAAAGATGCTGCATGTTATCTTTTAACTTCATCTTTAGGTTCAATTTTAGATAATTTTCTATTAGCTCTAACAGATATCATATTATGGTCTGGTATTACTCAGCATAGTCCATTAGAGACAAAGGCCAATATGTTTATATTCCTTCCTGAAGAAACTCTGAAGGTCTAGATAAGATGTTATGAATGAGCAAGATTCTGATCACAAAATAGCTCAGGGAACATTTTATACCCAGAAAACACAAAGTCAATTTTACCAATAATTTCACTGAAGCTAGAACTTCACAGCAAGTAGCTTAGGAAGGAAACAAAATGTGTAAAATGCTCAGAGAGTTGATGGACATGTATATATTGCACAATAATATGTGCAACTATATATGAATGTGTAAGATGGAAAAGATTTTGGCCAGATTCTGCTCTCGGTTCTGTAGAGGAAAAGGCAATTTAATTTCAGAAAGGTCAGTTACTCCAGTAACTGGTTCTCAGCTACATGCAGGAGCACAACTGAGCAGAGCAGAACTGCATTTTCACAAAGCACATCCCAGAGCAAGTGCCAAAATAATCTGTCATGCACATTAGTGGATCGGTCGAAGTCAATGAAATCAAAAGAGAGACAGTCGCACTTATTGTAACAAGCTAACTTGATAAACCACATGATTTTAAGCAGCCTCTTGCAAATCAAATATTAGTTGAAGAAAACATGACAAAAAGCAGGGCTGCTCAAGCCCAGTTGCTATCAGATGCTGCCAGGGAAACCAATGTGGTAGGTGAATGGTTCTCTTCTGCTTTTGGTGCTCGTGATCCCATGGTGGAAAAACTGCACTTTGCGTGTGACTAATGGCTTTGATTTCATTAGCAAGGAAGTCAGAAGAAGGAGTTAAAAGAAAGATAAGTGATTCAATCTATCTAATAATGATGAAGCAAGAGACTATGAAAATAAAAAGGAAAGGTATTTTTACAGCACCAAAAACACACTGAAGAAAGAGTTAATCAAAACAATGACTTTCCTAGAGAGCTGTTGCAGTAAGTTTTTATCTTATCCACAGCTCCAAAGAATACACAGAGGCAAAATCTCACCAAAGGCATCAGCCAGATCTTCCCAATGCAATTTGTAATTGCATTACCGGCAAAAAAGTGGTATATCAGTGTTTGCTTCCTGCAGCCACTAAAAGACAGGAATGATTCCCTCTTTGCCTACTCAGGACACATTAAAGAGCAAAGAAATTATGTAAGCTTGAATCTGAAAAATTCATTTCTGCCCTAAAATGTCACAGCTCGCTCTGTCCCTGCAAGGCAGGAGGACAGAATCCAGAGAGGAGGCTGGAGATCTCCCAAATCCTCTGACATGCATATTTTGAGGGAGAGATTTCCCTTTCGACTTTCCAGATCATTAGTCCTAGTTACACTTTATTTTTCTACTACAGGCAACTGTATTTCTGTGCAAATAATGATGATCATATTTCTTCATACGTAGAGTTTATCTGAAGCAAAATCTGGCGAGTTTCTTTTGGTTCTAAGAAGTCAATACAGGAAAAATCAGAATAACTTAGGAAATCATATGAAAGTATCAATAAAGAGTTATGTGGTTCACTCATTATTTCCTTACAGAAAAAAAAATTAACAATTTCCTGTGGGGTCTTTTTTAAAATTTAAACTGTTTGGCTGATACATATTAAAAAGACTATGCTAAGAGCATGTAAAGTGCATTACACATGACTGAACTAATGTCATTTCTATATTTACTCTTCTTTTGATCTTCCATGAACTTGAGTCAATTTTTTTCTTCTAGAATCTTTTTTAAATCTTTTTTTTTCTAATGTGCATTAAAAATAAATTGAATTCAGAAGAAGACAAGTATTTACCCAGAGTGCTTCATGTTTTGAGGCTTATCCATTCGCACTGCAAGCTTTATCTTCAGATCTTGATCGGGGCAGTTTTTGGAAACAGTCATTTTGTGCCACTCTGACTGCTTTGGGCTATTGGGAGTAGGATGGAGAACAACCTGTGAGCAGAAAAACCAACAATGTTAAAGAGAAGAATTATTCACTAAATGCATTTTAATGGAGAACAAAACCATCAGATAAACTACTTTCTTCCTCTTAAGTCTGCCTGAAAAATCCTGTTTACATCGGCAAGGTTAGCTTTTTTTTTGGTGTTTTAATATACAGCCTGTTATTTTGAGATTAGTTTATATATTCTTTGGTTGCTCCACCTACTCTGTCATTGTTCACGGAGTCATGCAGAACTGAATTGTGTTATCATTTCCCATCTTGCAATCACTTAAGGAAAGACCACAGTAAAAGAATTTGCAGCAGTCCAGGTAAGCCAGTCCAGAAGTGATGGTGGACTGATATGGCTGACATCAAACCAGCAACAAGATCCCACTGTGATTGCCTACAGTAAAACTCACATTTCCATGTGAGGTGCACTGTTGTTTCAAGTTTTCCCGAAGTTTTACCTAAAATGATTCAACCATTTTTATGTAACAGGTTGTCATGAAGCTGCCTGGATTTTTTGCTTACAGATAGGACTGGATGTAGCAGGCAACATTTCAGATAGGTCAGTGCTCTTGGTGACAGACCTCCTAAGAATTTGTCATCACCTTGTGAGTCTCTACAAACATCCTCCTCTGTGCAATGTTTCTTGGCTTACCTCCCATTACTGATTTCCATACAAGGTCTCCTCACTTCTTGACCTACTCATGCTTCTTGAAATGCACATAAAATACAAGCATTGCACTACCACAACTGATAAAAACTGTATCACATATTGTGATATGAGTCATTGCAGGACTCTCTTATTTTATGCAGAGGGAAAATGAGGGAGCAGTCTCCAGTTGGGGCATATCAGTGCAACATCAGCAATTTCAGTGGGGCAATGTAGATTAATACCAACAGAAGTGCTTGGCTAATCAAAGAAACTTCCCTATTTCCTCCTGGGGTATTCACATGGATCCTTTTGGGTGGCTTAGTCCTGTGATTGTAGGAGATTTATGCATATGTGTGGATAAAAGCACAGAGGAGCTACAGCGCTGTTTAAAATATCAGTCTCTCCCTCCTACCCCCATTCCTCTTGCGACCATGTCACTCTCAGAGGTGACTTCTCTGAGTGAAGATTCAGTTAAGTCTCTGCTGTCTTGTAGTGAGGTGACTTTCCTTTAGATCCATTAACCCGTATAAAACAAAATTCTATTATATATGGCTCTCTTCACCCTCATTATTTGCTCTGCTTTTGTCACTCACTCCTTAGCCATACTTAGTCTGTGCAGCTGTCAAAATCCAGCACAGCTTCTGAGCTTGTATTTCACCATCTACGACTTAACTGCTGAGTCAACAAGCTAGGGATTTTTCTACTAAAATATTCTTGACCCTTTGATGAATGATTTAAAAAACTGTTTTAGTGTCTCCTGCAAATCCTAAGGTTAACGCACCAGTAGAATTTCTGCATTACTTCATTCTGCATCGCTGTAATTCACAGCTCTTCCCCTCCTTGCTCTTGGTGGATGAAATCTTGGCACAGCTGAAATCCACGGGAGTTCTGCCATTGGCTTCAATAGGGTCAGGATGTATTCCCATGGCTTCAGCTGCCCATCCAGCAGTTTAGGGCTTGGGAGCTTTTTCCAGCTCTTCTTTCAATAAAAGTGGTGAAATGAGGAGTGCCGGCCAGTTGCCAACTTAACACTTGCAATAGAAAGTGTGCATTGTAAATGCCTGGCAGAGCACAAAGCTGCTTCTCAAAGGGCAGCTAAGCATGGGTGTTTTTGCGCTCAAAACTGCCCCTCGGAGACTTTGCTTCCCTCCTCTCTGTGTTCAGACAGGTCCGTGCCCATTCGAACAGCTAAATCGGGGGCTTAACACACTCCCAATTTCATTATTCCATTAAAAAAAGAAATCCTGATGCAGCCCGATCAGACACGCGTCATTGCGAGACCGCTCCAGGCGCAGCGAGTGTCCCTTTGAAGTTCGGCTGGCTCGGAGCACTGGTGGCCCTGGTCCAAAGGAAATCTCCGTCCTGCTCTCTGCACTTGCTGGTGCTGGCCCACATTCTTCGGATTTCAGAAGCTTAAAGCGGAGCGATGGCTTCCCGCTGGACTGCGAATTAAAGTGCATCGGCGGGGCTGGCTCATCAGCATTTCAGGGCAAGAGGGGTTGCTTTGGGGCCTGACATCTTTCTTAGAACAACATGCAAAGCTAATTGCTTTCCGAGACTAGCAAAGTCAGCACTGCTCAGCGCTGCCAGTGGAAACAAGACCTACAAAGCAAGTGGTTCTACATCAAGTGTAACCACTCAGGGAGAGAAAAAAGCCCTGAACAGCATTTGTGGATGACTTGGTGAAAAGCTCTGCTCAGCATGCTGCAGCGGATAAAAGGAGGAGACACAAGGTGTCGGGCTGTTTAAAGAATGTAGTTTTGAAAATAATCCCGAAAATATTATGATGCCGTGCAGCAAAGGAACTGTAGGCCTTCGGCTGGAGTACTGTGGTCTGTTTGGTTCTCTTGAATAGAGAGAAAGGATGTATAGAGAGGGAGGATGGAGTTCTGGATGTGGAAAGTCTGAGGAGGCCGTCACTCCCTTTGAAGAGAAGGGTGAAGAGAGGAAAGGAGGATAACTTTGCTTTTCTCTCTCCCAAGTGCCAGAACAAGGGATGTTTCATGAACATGAATACCCAGATATTTAAAGTGAACATTAACTACATAAGACCAAATCACCTGCAGAGCTTTCCACCATAAAGATATAAGCCAGATCAGCAACTTACTATGATCTGAAAGACGATTTGGCATTTGTATGAATAATAAGAATACAAAATTATGCTATTAAGGACAACCTGTTGTTTTATGGGAGACAGACTCCTGTGTGCAGCCTTTAACTACAAGGGGCTAGTAAGAAACATCCCAACAACAGATTAGATCATAATTTCTTGGATATACCACAAGATCAGAGGGTTTTTTGGCCTTGGCTGTAGACAAAACAGACAGCAAGTTGTGCTGTAGAGCTGGCCAGATAAAACACAGCTTGTGTCTGGAAATTATACAGCCCATGTGGAGCTGCTGCACAGGGATGTGCAAAGTCAGTATGTCAGGTGCAGCCTCACTTCCTGTGAACTGATTTTCACTTGGTCTCACTATGCTATGTAGAAGAATAGACCTGCTGTCAATTCCCTTGATAATTAAATATTTGCTCTTAATTTTGGGTGTTCCCCATCTTTCTTCTGTGCTTCCTAAAGCCTGCCATGACTTTCAGGTCAAACTGTGGGGTCCTTCAAAACTTTTGGCTCCCTGCTACACATCCAGTTTGAGGAGATGTTCCTTGGGCTTTTCTTCCTTGGATTTTAGCCTCTTGCAGTAAGTGCTGCAGTTAGTGCTTTCAAACACTGAAACCATGCACTGGCTCTTCAGTAGATACGAGAGTCTCTTGCCAAACTTAAACCTCCTTTTTTGCTTCCACATAATCCCCTTTTCTCCCTCAGCAAAGTCCATTTCCGTAAGCGACTTCTAAAGCTTTCCGGACTGCCAGCATCACACACAGGATCCTCTGCCTTGCTTAGCGTGGGCACAGCCAGCTGAAATGCTGCCATTAGAAGCTAACAACAAAGCGTGTGAGATGCATTACTTCCCAGTAGAGTAGAGCTCACTTTCTTCCCTCCCAAAGCTTGGCAAAAAAAGCACAGTACGTTGTACTCCGAAAGTATTTCCATACGGGAGAGATTTCTCTAGAAAAGCAGAGCCAGGAAGAAATATTATTAAACTGAAAACCTCCTTACCCTCCCGAGCTCCTTGTCCTCCAGAGCCAGCACCCCGGTGCTCTCCGTGAACAGCTTCACCTTCACTGCTGGAAGTGCGTGCGTCGTCGTGAAGTCTCCTTGGGTGCCCCAGCTGTGGAAACAGGGACACAGACGTGTTCATCTCCGTGGGCAGGACAGTGGCCCTACTGCTTGGGCATGAGTGGTGAACGGAAACACCGTGCCTGGCACATGCTGAAGTGGCTGGGCGGAGGGGCAAGGGCATTATCTTTTGAGGGAAAGGGGGGCCAGAAAAGCCAGGATGGTTCTTTGGGGAAAAAAGAAGAGAGTATTTGGGACCAGCATGAAAACAAACTTAGGAGAGCTTATTTATTTAGCAAGTACAGTAAACCTCCTGCATTACCAGCCTTTATAGCTGTAACAGCATTTGAGATCTAGGACACCTGCATCTTGGACATTTGGAATCATTCAGGCAGCCCCTCCGAACCCCTGGCTCCTTATTTGGAGGCCTGGGGGGCAGATAAGCAACTTTTGTTGCTGTTTTTCTTCTGTTTTTTAATTCACCATGAGTTAGATTTCTGTGTTGATCCTAGAGACCCTGGAAGTTCATGACACTTCAAACTTCAAGCAAAGTGTTCAAACAAGCTTGAGGGATAATCATCACAAAGGTGCTTTTTACAAACGCAGAGAAACAAATAACATGCAGGGAGCAACACATCAGAGGGATGTGGCAGTATGTGATAAAACATACCTCAGAGTCAGGCGAGAGCTTAATCATGTCCTGCTAGTCCCTTATGAGTCACTCTTAGCAACTTTGTCATTTTACACAGTCCTCAAACTAGATGCTCTGCTAAAGAACAGCAGCTCTCATTGAAATGACTGAGAAAAACAAGTGGTCCAGAGCACGTATATTCCTCAGATATAAACACCAGTTCTTTTTTTTTTGCATTTGGGAAGTTATTGGGAAAAATAATTCACTCTTTCTTGTGTACAGGGGACATGGGTTGGTACTCCGGTGTCTCCTGGACAAGTCTAGTCCAACAGAGCAGAGCTGATTAACCAGCCTGGTTTCGTTGCTGACTTTGCTCTCAAGTTTTCTCTCTTGGTGTCACTGTTCCACGCTTCATCTTTTATGTTGATGCATCAATCTGCCATCAGTGCCAGGGAGCAGAGGCTGGGCATAAATTATCTACAGCCTGACAAGGCCTGTCAGAAACCCCCAAATTAAGTCTTTTTCATGTGACATCCCTCAGCTACCTAATAAATGTTTTACACAAGCGAACCTAGAAACAGCCTTATTTTCTAATTGCAGCTTCAGTGCAGACTATGTTTTCTCTCTTAAAAAATTACATTATCACCAGGAGGGACAATGAGAATCTTGCTCCGGGGAAGGAGAAAAAAAGTAAGAAAATAACCAACCTTGCACTGTGTATTTTGACAGCATCTGCTTTATAAAACTCATATCTCTGTTTACTATTAAAAAGCTCTTATTTGCTGAAGCATTCCCAGACCATATGTTATCAACAAATGTTACTAACCAAATACAAACAGTAATTTTCATTAGGTTTCCTTCACGAGAACAACATTAACCACAAAGAGAATAAACGTTTCCAACGAAAGTAAACACACACAGCAAACTCCTGACAACACTGTGGTGTTTACATATTCATACCCCCAAAAGCCACGAAAAGATCCACCCCGGCAAAAAGAGACCCTCCGAAGTTGGGTTTTGTGCAGGCTGAAGCCTGTGATGATGTCACTAGTTGCCATAGCGATGCTCAACATAAGGCCATAACTCATGTCACCGCAACACCATTAATATTCAATCTACGTATGCAGCTTATCTGAGCTGTGTATTAAATTCTTGCTCATAAAACTAGCTCTGGACAGCAGTTAGGCATTAGATTCTTTTGAGGGAATGACAACGCAATGGTTTCATTTGGGCAATTAATAATTAAACAAGTGTTCAGTAAAGGATTTATTTGCTGAAAATGTGCCTTGGGACCCATTTGGGACGGGTGAATTAGCCAGGCAGGCTCGGCCGCCCCCAGGTCGCAGAGCTCCCTCTTACACTTTCATGCAGTAACACATCTGCAAACCAGGACAAATAATGCCAGTGTGGCCAAAGGATACTCTCATACGTCACTGAAAAGAAGGGAGCAAGCAGAAAATCCTGGCGATACGTTCTCAGTTAGGACCACATTAATTGTCTGAACTGCACCCGAAACCCTCAGCCTAACATTTTTTATTGCCTCCTGTTCCTCAAAGCCTGGAGTTGGCCAAGAAAAAATGCCAAGCACAAGGACTTGGCTAAAATTATAGCCCCATTTACGGCATCTCTGCTGTCCCAGTAACATCACTAGAATCTACCAGTGTCTCTAAGGTTTTGACTTAGGCATCAAACTTAAGATGAGGAGCCAAGGGATAAAATACACAGTGTGACAAATGCTGGCTCTTATTTCACCTTTCACAAGCAAAATAAGTAGATCATCACTGCAGTCTTGGTACATAAGGTTTAAGAACAGGGATTCGCCCAGAGGTGTCAGACTAAAGCACTGACTTTTTTCTTAAATAAAATGTTAAATGACACAGATCCAGCAAATGAGACAGGATGATAAGGAAGGAAACTCAGCCAGGTCATCGACTCTCTTCCCATGCTCTGTTACAATGTGTGATTAAAATAATATTTGAGATAATAAAGTTTGAGCAAAATGGTGTAAGGATTCCTGTCCTGATGGTACACATAAGTCACATAAAACCAGACAGCAGGATCCAGGAGTCCAGTTGTTTTTCTCTATGATAGCCCACTTATGTGGCCTAATCCGAGGCTTTCTCAGATGTCCTTGAGAGAAACTGAGTTAATCATTTCTATTCACCTCGAGTAAGTTCCTCTAACGGAAACATTAGCACCAATGACCTCACAAACAGCGAACATGCATATTAATACCCGCATTCAGTCCTTTCATTCACGCTGTCGTCTCCAGCCAGTCTCCTTAGCCTTTGCCTAAATTAAAACAGCGAGCCTTCTCCCATCGTTGGGCTTGTAACTTCAGCTAGCTGCAACACTGAAGCCTGTGATTTCTATAAATAATGAACAAGAGCAACTGAATTACGTTGTCGTGCCATGAATCAGCCCCGCTAACCAGCTCGGCCTGTCAGGAGGGTAGCACGGGAGCAGCTGGAGAGTGATTTGCTTTACATGGGGTTGACATTTAAACATGATCTATGACCAGTTTTCATTGGCTTCAAAACTGCTAGAGGACACCTTCTCTGTCACTCTTGCTGATATATTTATTGAAAGACAGTTGAAGAAGAAACGTCAAAAAGGCAGAAAATCAAAGCAAAAATTTGTGTTAGAGGAGAGCTACACTGCCCCCTCAGTGGGTTAACTCCTCATTTATGCACAACCCTGGGACATGGCATCTCACTGTATGACACCACAAAACACTCACTGAAAGACAGACCTTGTCCTTGCAAGCTTTAAATATAAGTAAAAAGTCTTACAGAGTAAAGAGCCCTGTACATTGGCCAGACTTGCATTACATACTGTACTACCTGCTCCACATCACTCTCATAGATTGCGGCCGTCTCCTGCCTCCCTGCACAGCTCCAGCTGTGGAGATGACCTCCAAAGGACTCTCGCCTCTCCCGGTGAAGATGGTTTCCCCTTTCCTGGCAGAGGGCACTACATCAACGTGCCTGCATATCCCATTTGTGGCTTGGGATATACAGAACGAGGCGGCTACGGAGGAAAGTTCAGCAAGAGTGTGGTACAGGCAATGCTCATGGCATATAGTGCATGTTTTCTGAGGAAACGTGCAGGAAAAATCAACTTTTCCTGGGTCTTCTCCTTGCCTGGATGTGATGATTTTGGTTTCTCCACTCACTGCAGCAACTAGACATGGTGCCTGCAGGACCCTGTCCTGAGGATGGTGGAGTCTGATTATGCTTCGACATTGGCAGTCCAAAGTTTTGCACTCTGTTACAGAAGTTCTAAAATCCTGCCTAACAAATGATCATTTTTTGTCTTGAGCCTCGCGTATCAAAAGCGATCTTTTCAGGGAGCAGCTTTATGTTGGGCCATAAATCATTCACAACTGAAGCCTGAGCACTGGGAAAAGCAAAGTTACAGAGCAAGCACTGCAGGAACTGAGTTACCCTTCCTTAATGCAGGTGATAGAGTAGGATGTTATTGTAAAAATTTCTTAAAAGTATTTCTCATTTTTCCAGTAAGGAAGAAAATGAGTACTTCTGTTTAACAGTTCAACAGTATGGTAACAGGAGCATAGCAAAACCTTTTTGTTATCTTCTTTAATGCTTTGTACATTCCGGTTATTTGAAAGCATTAAATATAGGTTGATGACCTAGGCTATACTTACAGGTGATCTTTCTGAACTTCCTTGTCCATACTGTGAGGAAGCAGTTTGTTATAATACAGTGAGCATGGATTTACTCACTGGAGGAGGAAAACAAACATGAAATTAATCACATTAAGATGAAAATGCCAATTTCATTTTTGAAAGTGGGTTTTTGCAAATCTCTAGGACTGACAAATCTTGCAACATCTCCCATGTCCTGACCCTTTCACCAGCAGTTGCTGGGTGAGCAGACAGCTTGCTCTGTGGGAGGAGTGTTAGTGAGGTGACAAACTGGCACTAGGGACAGTAGGTGACAGTAGGGACGTGCCTGGATACATGGTAGTGGAAGGCACTCAGACCTTCCACGGGTGGGTCAGAGGAGTGATAAAAATAAGCAGGACATTCCAAGGCCTTTAGAATAAGATGTCTTTTTGCAGCTCCCAAGGGTAATGGGCAACAGATAATAGATTTTAGCTTTTGGGGGATTAAAAAAAACAACAACAAAGATAATAGAAGAATTTAGGATATTTTTAGGCACTGCAAGAAAACACACAGGCCCTGGGTCCCAGGCTGCAGTGTCTCCACAGGTTTGTTCCAGATGTGCTGACAGTGCACCCCAGCAGAGCACAGCTCCACGCACAGCTCACGTGCTGTGGGAGAACCCCTAAAACCCTGGCTGGTTTACACGGGATACTGACAAAAAGGTAAGTATATAACTAAGAATGGTCTGCGTCATTTTGCAGCAGGATTACAGAGTTCACTTTAGGTTAGGTGA